GAAAACAATTGGGTAGGCTGTAATTTATCTGATATTTATGGAGAGTAGCACAAAGAACTTGCTGATTATCCACAGATAGCGAGAGGATTATTAAGGATTATTAGAGGGTGGGAAAAGAGTTTCATCCAGGATTGTAGAAGTAATTGAATTAGACCCAATTCAAATAGTTTATGTACAGATGTTCTTTCGCTTTAGTCTGGAGGAGATCAGAGATTGTGAGCCCTTAAGCTGAAAAAATAAGTCTTTGAAACTCTTTGAAACTCTGTCAATTCAGCCAATTTGGCAAGTATAGTGGGAAAGTTGCTTAACTAGTTTTCCAGTAGTGCATCCTTCATCTTTATTTCTATTGAGTGAGGACTTAATTTACTTCAAATTGTATAATCATAACTTCAGTTTCTAATCTTAGTATATTGTTCCAAGGGGAAGGTAATCAAAATGATCAAGATTTCCCCTAAGAATTGCCAGAATATGTGGGAAGAGAAATTAAGAATTTTTTCAGGATTTTAAATTCTATATTATTTCAAGCAGATAAAATTAGAATATATGGGGAAGGAGTAAGTTGTTATGGCTCTCTTGATAAAGAAGAACTATTATTTTAATAAGTTAAGCCTGATAGCATCCACATTGTAGATAGTGCAGTAACATTTTGAGGATTGGACTTAATGAGTCATTTAGAAGTGGAAACTGAAATTTAACAGAAGTGAAAATTGAGCACATAAGCATCAGTGGCTTTTCAGTTGCTGGAGGGAAGACCAATGTGTCTATGCAGTACTCCAGTCACTATTTAGCTTGGGTAACGGCTGGCAGAACTATTGGCCTCAGATCGGTGTTTTCTGAATTATGAACCAGAATTCCTAGAGCAAAAGAAGCCAGGAACAGGGTCCAAATCGGGAAGGATTTAGGCCGAGATCAAAGGAAATGCTGCAAATCCTGTGATCCAGCTTGAGGAGCAGCAGCTGAATAATGACAGATACTTGGGCCATGGGTAAACTCTTGATCTTTTGGAAGTTGCCCTGTTTTTTCCGCTGCAGAATATGTGTTGATCTTATCAGGAGTTTTGTGACTGAAGTCTATTAGATTTTGATATTGGAAGGGTAAGGAGTTTGTGGGTGCTTGGCCTTTATACAGAAGTTTTTTCCTCTTTTGCTCTTGTGTGCAACCCAGAAAGATTTGAAGCAGATTAGAATCTGAATTAAAATACTAGTTTGACCCAAGTAGAAAAAAAAAAAAGACTATTTTGGTTTTCTGTCTCTGAAAAATAATTATTATCTATACCTACTAAGATATTAAATTATAATAATTTTCCCCACTCGGTTTCTAAGCCTTTTAAACTCTCTTTTGTTATTTACCATATAACATACTTTTTTTACAGTTCTTTATATACGAGTTGGGGTGGTGCAGGGGGAGGAGAAAGGATATAAAAGTAACATCCTGAGGGTGGGTTTCCCTCATCCTATTGTTGAGGGCAACTGGAATAAGAGAGATTGATGTGATTGTTTATATTTTGCATTTTTAGGAAGGAGATTGCCATGGTTATGAAAAGCTCCTACCTTCGAGGACTGAACTTAGCCTCTTTCTTTGTGGCAAGCAAAATAACAGTGTTCATGACTTTCATGGCATATGTACTGCTTGGCAATGTTATCTCTGCAAGTCGGGTGTTTGTTGCAGTGTCCCTGTATGGTGCAGTAAGACTGACAGTAACTCTCTTCTTCCCTTCGGCTGTGGAGAGAGTATCGGAGGCAGTGGTTAGCATACAACGCATCAAGGTATGGTTATTGATTTGAATGGTATGTGGATTTCTTCTCTTATTCTAACGTTGTTTTTAATGTCACTGACAAAAGCAGTCTTACTTCGGTTTTGCAGTTTGGGATTTTTAATGAAATAACCTATTTTGAAAACTGAATATGTTGCTGTATGTGCATGTGCAAAAACATGGCATGCACTCTAGGGCAGGCTGAAATGTAGCAGAAAAGTGGACATGCAAAGAGGTGTTGTGGACATTTTTGAAGTAAGAGGAACGTGTGTGCAGATATGTTGGGACTGGGAGGACAAAGCAGGTAGATGGGAATTGTAGGATTCATGTTCCATGTACACTGCACTACCCTGTCAGCTATGGAGTACAGGTCTGAGCCCTAGCTGGTGTCTTGTGGCTGCTTTCAATACTGGAGTGCAGGCTCAAAATCAGTAATGATGAACATCAGTAATGCTGCTGATTTTGGCAGATGGACTTTATTTTGTTTGGTTTGTTGTGCTTAGTGTGTGTTGTGAATAAAATAATCATGCTTGCTGTATGTACCAGTACTTTAGTGTAAACTGCAAGAGTGAAAGACTTAAATGCAAAATGCATTTTGAATTTAAAACTTTAAAAATCCCAAATTTTCAGGTTATTGGAATACAGAATTAAAGCATGCCAGCCATTTTAGAACTTAATTTTGCAAAAGCCCCTGTTAACCTAGTCTAGAATAGGGAAAACAAACACGTTGGATGTAATCATATGGCTTTGCATAGTGCACAATGCCATTTGTTGATGAAAGTAGCTAAAAATCTCCTATTTTATTTTCTTCTCCATGTGCTTGAACATAATAAATCATTTTTTTAATAGATAAATTTTCTAACTGTGCAAAGCCTGCACAAAAAACTATTTATGAAACAAGTAGTCTTTGCACTTTAAAGAAGCATTTTGTAAAAGCTAGTAAAGATCAATATGTGAAAATCATGACCACAGCAATATCATAGGCATTAACACTTATTATTACTGCTTAAACTAAGCTGTGGGAGGGGAGAGAAGTGCTGGGTTACTGGATGTTGCACACTGTCTTTTCTGTATTCTCCTATACGCTGCGTTTTGCTGCAGGGCAGTGCTATTTCAAGGGATCTTTCAAGCTGTGCAAGTTAAGAGACATGAATGGCTGAAAAAGATGCCTAGGAACCAGAGAATGGCGCATGAACAGAGGCAGTGATGATCTGTTCCTTTTTTTTTTTTTTTTTTTTTTCCCTCTGGTCTCTGTTTCCAGCTGTCCTAGTGCTGTATAATTTTGCTTTTGACAGCTACCTCCAACTCCCTTGCACTTAGGATTCCTTAAGGATGGTTTTTGGAAACCAGTTCCAGAATCGTTGTTCATTGGGCAAAGAATTGTCCCAATGAATTTGTAGCATCCTTGATGCCATCACCACTTTTTAGCTTCCATTTCCCAAACTGTTTCAGGATTGGACATTTTGCCACTGAATGACAGGATGCTGCCTGACCAAAGATGTGTCACTGAAATGTAAATACGTGGAAAAGAATTAGGAGAAGAGAGTAGAAAATACAGAAAAAAATTATTAAGACGATGGCTAGGTATATTTGGGCAAAACTGAAAATTTATCTTTTTTTAAGAAGGTGCTTTCTCTTAGGTTTTGTAGAACAAGTGAGATTTCTGCACTGATCTTAAAGTATGCTCAGATGGAGAGAAGGCGACAGGAGATACTCTGCTTCAGGTGACAATAAAGAATGATAGTCAGATGGGTAGTAGTAGCCTTTCCTCCATATTCATTTATACATACATTAGAACTGTGTGGCAAAAAGAATAGTGGTCTCCTTATTGTGTTTTTCACCTACATTCTACCTACACATCTGAGAGCTGGTCTGCATCTCTTCTGGAAGCTCATTCACTCTTTTGTGATGGAACAATAGGCTCAAGGTTCCCTCCTGAAACAAAGTGAGAGCAGTTGTTTTTCAGAGGGTTTTGGCAGACATGCAGAAAAGACAGTACGTTTCAGCTGGGTACAAAAGATAGAGGTTTCTCTTTCAAGGACACAGTCATATCTCCAGTTAATGTTTGCTTCTCAACCGCCTGTGTGGATGGTAGCAACTTTATTTTTCTCTGCATGGAAGATTATTAAATACAAAAGGAAAGGAAGAACTTAAGGAGGTTGTAAGGCTGAAGTTATTTACTGCATTTGAAAGTTTTATTTCTAGTGTTGATTGCCCCCCCCCCCCGTTTAAAATTCATGGTGTTAACTGTATAACTTTTTTCTTCATTTGTACTAGTTTTATTTGAAATCTTGCATATGTGATACTGTAACATTTTTGACTTAAATGACTAGCTAGGATTTATATCTGGGATGAATGCTACTGCTAGAAGAGAAATTCCTGGTAAACACAGAATCAATGTGAGACTGATTCCTTGCTTATAACTGCTGTGGTATTTCAGCCATCATCTAAATCCAAATCACACTTCTGAGGTCTTTTCTCAAGCCATACACTCCAGTAATGATAGTCCGTGTCTGGAGTTTCTTTCCCTGCCTACCACTCTCTTATCCAGAGTTCTTTTTTACACATGTACCCATCTGGGCCTGCCTATCTGTAACAGCACTCAGCAATATTCATCTGGCCGGAGAGCTCAGGCATGCGTGGCTTTTCACTTTTGCCTTTTGGTAGAGATACATGTATATGTGCATTGAGTTTGCAGCCTGCTGCATTAAAATGCTTGACTTCTCACTGCTCTCTGAAGTGATACCTGCCAGCTGGAGCCTGGGCAGTACCTAGCAGTACTCTTCCTGACCTCCCATGGCTCCTGGCATCCTCCTGCTTCCTCTTAGTTACTGACTTCTGGAAGTCTTCAGCAGCTATCTCACGTCTGCAGACTGTTAACTCCAGTACTTGTTAATTAGTCTTGGCTTCTAAGATCAAGACCTTCCTTTTCTCAAAATGTTTTCCGCTAGAGCCCATTTAAAGTCTTCATGCTCATTGGTTCAAAGCATGATAGAATTTTTCTGGTTTTGTCTTAAAATTGTAGTAACTGTTATCCTTGAAAGTTTTCTCTAGAACTTGCCCCTTTTCTTTCTGAATGTGTTTGAGATACTTATAATCTAGCATCAGGCAAGGTGTGCTAGAAGTGTGGTTGGGGTACAAAAGTGCATGTTTATGCAACTTGAAGGAAAGGTTCTTTGACCTGGATATAATGTAGAAGTACAGTGGTGAAAGTGCAACAAACCAGTTATGCAGGTGTAATCAATTTCTTTGTTAATGCCCTGGACTTTAAAAGGAGGAGAGGTTCAGATAGTGTTCTGCAGCCTTTTTGTCATGTGAAGAATCCTTAACAGGGACAGTGATCAGCTTCTTACTGTGTCCTCATCGTTCTTCTGAGCAAAACAACATAAGCCTTTACCTTCAAAGCAGTGGAACGGTAAGGTTTTGCAGAGAGGGTTTCACCTCTTCCTCATGGGAAGATGCAGTCAAACAACTGTAAGATTTGTCAGTGTTTCAGAGAAAAGACAGGGTCCATTTGCTTCAGGAATTCCATTTTATTGAGCGGGTTAAGAGTCCTGTAGTACTTTTGTGCTATGAAATCTGCACTTTTTTTTTTTTTTTTTTTTTTTTGCGGGGGGGACGGGGGACACACAGTTAGTTAGAGGTACACTGTTGAAGGAGTTGCGCATTGCTTTGGAAATTTAATTCCTTAATCAGTTTGTGGTTGTGTGTGTCATTCCCCCCGCCCCAAATAATATTCTGTATGCTGCTTCCAAAAACATGTGCTTGGGTTCTTTTCCCATTATCAGTCTCACATTAGGCAATATCCTGTGCTTTTCTTTTATTGCAGAACTTCCTGATACTTGATGAGGTCTCACACTTCAAGCAACAACTGCATGGTAATAATGAGAATGTCATTCTTCATGTTCAGGATTTGACTTGCTATTGGGATAAGGTAAATTTACTTCTACTAAATGTACGGTATAGTGGTGCTGCAGGCATTTTAGGTCTAAAAAGCAGTGTGTCTATGGATAGTGTTCTGATGTTTTGCATTCCATCCTTTGTGCATGAGAATCCTTTTAGTATGTTAAGCTAACTCTGTAGAATAGTACTGAAAATACTATGAAGTGCATCTTAAAAGTAGCTTTTTCTGAATATTATACTAAATGAAAATCAGCGTTTCTATGTGAAAATATCTCTTGTTATTAAACAGCACTGTATTGTAGCTGTGATACTTAAATTGGAATTAAGGACAGACAGCACAGTAAGGTGGGCCTTAGCAAGTGGGGTTTTTTCTGTGAACTGAATGCTGATCAGTCCATTAGTCTAGAATCAGTACAATATTATACCTCTCATAATAGATTTGAAAGCTTTAGAGAGTAGTCTGCATGTATTATTTGTTACTGTGTATTTTGAGAGCATTCAGCTACAAATTGTTCTCTGCTTAAGATGCACCAAAACCACCGAAATGACTAGAAAAAGGGACAATACCAGGTGAAAAAAAAAAAAATTATTATGTATCCATTACTGTAAGAAACACAAAAATTGACTGTTGTTTCTGTTTTAAAACTGCAATTGCTATGGTAAGCAGCAATTTGTGATGAATTGTTGGAGCTGTTACGACCTGCCAGTATACATGCACAAGGGAAGTTTCAGTCTCTGCAAAAAATGCTGGAAGCTTTAAAAATTATTTTTACATATAAAAGTAATGCAAATAAGACATGCCACATATTTCCCTTTATATACCTTCTTCCTCTACATGTGCTGTTTCCCAAGGAAGATAAAGTGTGAAAACATATGCGAGGATATACCTACTAGTACTACTCAGCTACAAAAGAAAATTGCTGTGTTATTGTGCTTTACTTTCTCAGAGTTGTCTCTGTGACATAAACCTTTCTGAGACATTGAACAAATTTTTAAAAATTAAACGATATGAAAAGCTTCATGGTGAATACGTTCTAATGCAAAATGGAATGTATTTCTTAGTCTTTGTTTTCTTCCCAAACCAACATTGGTACCACTGTTAACAATTTATAGGAAATGGTTGCATAATATGCCCATAAAACACTTTCTTTTTTTTCCACGAGTTGTTTATGTTGCATAAAGCAAGGCAGCATGACTGGAATTACTGGTTTCTTTTTGATTTAAAATGAAAAACCAAAACAAAACCAACAAACCATCCACAAAACTGTTAATGTAATTTTCATTTTGATATTTAATTGCAGTGTGCATGGGAGAAGAATAGTTCTCCCAGAAGTATTAAGAGCTGCTCAGAAAATGTCTCTTGCATGCTCTTACAAAGTAGTTTTAGAGTTGCTCACTGAAAAAAGGAATAATAAAAATATACTATCCTTTGTCAAGTAACTGACTTAGCTTACTACTCTGACTAGGCTTCTCAAGAGTCTTTGGATCTCTGTACAGACACTGTACAGCTGGATGATAATTTTTTAAATTATTTTTAAAGATTGTGAGCCAAGAGAGGTACTAAAAAATCTGCAACAACCCACAAATCCAAAATCACTGGAAGTAAAAAAGGGATTATTAGCTAGGCTTTTAGGAAAACAGCCTAACATGGTGTATTACAGTTTATCAAAAGATAAACAAAACCAATTAATTCATGGTCACACTCTTGTTTTACTAAGGCAACTATTATCTCGAGTCCCACAGGCTAGTCTGATACCAGCATGGAACTAGGGATTCTTCAGTGTGGGTTTTTACTGACATGCCTTGAGTTTACAGAACAGTCTGCTCAAATGAGCAACTTTAGGTTTAAAATTTAAGCATTTGAACAGAGGCCAAATTTATCCCTTGTAATTTTAGTTACTTAAATGAGGAGCCTTAGTAGTATAGTACTTTGTGCAATATACAATCTCTGTATCCCTTAGATGGGATGAATTGCTGCTTTGTCTTGACTATAGGACATGTGAAGTCTGTCCAGGCTTGCTGAAGGAGTTGCTGTCCCTGAAGGGATCCTTCTTGTGTCCTTTTGTCCTCTCACTCCTATGTCTCTGTTCCTTCCCTTGTGCTGGTGTTAGTGCTTGTATGTACCACCCAGTGGTGAGCTGATTCAGAGGGATGAAGAAATAGAAAATGAATCACTTTTAATGTGATTTGTTTTCTGGTGGCTGAGTCCCATGAACAACCTCTCTGCAAGGTTAGGCAAGCACAAATGAGAGAAGGAGGAAAGTGAAAGACGCAGATAGTTGACAGGGCACAGGGGAGCTGGGACATTAGCGCTAATGAGCTGTCAGATGAATTTAGCTGTAGTATTAGTGCTCTAATTTAAGTGTGTCAATTTAGTGCCTAAAAATAGGTGTCATGAACTCAGGACAAATTGTCTTTAATTATAAGGAATGCTGTTTTGCAAAAATACCGTGCCCCTTAGGTGTTTGTGGCCATGCTGTTTGCTTGCGTTACTACTTTTGTACAGGGTCTATGGTATCTTACAATACAGCCTTAATAGATGATATTTGGGTAGTAGTTTAAAGACTTTTGAAATTTTCTGTCATTTTTTTAGGTTCTTATGATACATTTTTTAAAACCTGAGTGTGGCAGGAAGTATCTTTGCACTTTTGTGAATATAGAGGCACAACCTCAAGAGATCTGAAGAAGGGCCTGCGTGTCTGAAACCTTATTTACTTTTTCCATATAGACTAATTGATGTAGTAACACATATTTTCTCTTCCTACAAACTTTGCTTTTTTAAAAAAAAAAGGCTTGGCTGCCATAAGTTGGTAGAGTTCTCCTGACCTTAGAACTAGCTGAACTGTTTACTGTGGACTGAGAAATCAAATTCATGGTAAAATGCCGATGGGGCTGGAGGCGA